GGTCCTGCTCCTCTGGCCCTTAAAGTCTCCTCTGGGTCTGGTTCAGACACATCCTCGGGGGCCACAGGCACCGACGTGCTTGCCCACCTCACCGGGGGCGGGGCTCATTCTTTGCTGTGTTCCTAGAAACCCCACTCTCTCCCTCTTTTCTCTTGCAAACATCCCTCCAGCCTGAGTTCAAGAACATGGGTACCTCCTGGTCCTTAGGGCAGAGAACTGTATGAGAAGGCAGCCTCCCCAGGGAGAGGACCGGGTCGACGCTGTCAGACGTCCAGGGGCTGGGGGACTGTGTCAATGGGCACAGGAGGGTCTTTGCCCTCCATCACCGCTCTCACACAGAGGACCCCCAGTCCTGGGCAGGGGGAGGGAGAAACAAACTTGCCACCTGCTGAGCCAGGAGTCACATACCTTACCTCTGCTGGTTGCTTGTCTCCTTTACTCTCCTTAGCAAAGCTGGTGTGCTGTGGGCCATTACCCCCATTAGACAGACAGGAAGCTGGTCTCAGAGAGGTCACCCAGCTGGGGACTCCCAACAGGGGCATTAGGGGAGGCAGCCCCCACCCCCTGCCCAGGTATAGCCAGGCGGGAAGTGCAGGTGCCCCGCGTCACTGCTGCATACTAACAGCCTGTCATCTCTTCCTTGGGTCGGGCTGTAGATAGCACAGCAGCATCGGAAGTACTATCTAGACAAGACGGGCATGGTGCCCCGGGCCCCCTACTTCGTGCTGCCTGTGAAGGAGTGGGAACGGTACCCCCTCCCCACCGATCTGTGAGTGCCTGCCCTCCCTTCATTCATGCATTCTACAGACACATGTCCATGGGCACCTGCTTTCAGCCAGGCGCGCAGCCACTCAGACTGAGAAATCAGTTAAGATCTGGCCTTAAGGAGGCTACAGTGCAGAGGGTGATGGTTACACAGCAAGGGGTCAGGGTTTGGGCAGCCTCACAGGGAAACCAGGAACCTGAATGAGCGGAATCAGAAAGAGTGTTTTCCTGGCCAGATGCCTGGGGAGTTTGGGAGCAAACCCCACCATCTTTGCTGGCCCGAACCCGCAGGCTTCTGCCCTGCAATGGCAGCCTTGCAGCTACACTCGTCCAAACGTGGTCACCGCTGCTCTGAGCAGTGAGGAACTGCTGCCCTCTGGCGGACATAGAGGACACTACACAGAGCAGGGAATTGGTCCCCCCCGCTCCAACTCTGACCAGACTCAGAAAATGTTGTCCTCGGGACTACAAAATAGCTTTCAAAGTCCAACTGTCCATCTAACAAAATGTGAACGTTCCCCACTGCCTGAATCTCACTTCTTTTATCCAGGAGAGCTGCTTTTCCCAGGGAAGGCCAGCTCTGCCCTGTAAGATAATCCAGGTACATGCTCTCCCTCCTGACACCAAGGCATGGAAATCAAGTCCATGCTGCCAAGGCGTCTTGTGGGGAAGGAGGCATCAGGAGGTCAGTGGAAAGATCTTGGGTTTCCAACTACATGCTGACCCTTTGCTTGCCTCAAGAACCCCAAGCCTTGCCACCATCATTATTGATAAGGCAGCAAAACTTTCCATTGAGTTTAATGGTTTTTTAAAGACACAAATTTAACTGCCTCTGTAGTTTCCTCTCTGTAAGATAGAAGGACCCATTTTATAGATAGGGAAACTGAGGTTTAGTGATGGCCTCAGAAACTTGTGCCGGGTAGCAAGTCTCGTTGGAGGTAGAACCTGGAGAAACCGAGATCTCCTGACACCAACTCTAGGACTCTGGGTTGGCCATCTCCACCCCTTGGGTGGCTTTGAGTCAGACCAAACCTGGAGGCAGTGTGGGGCCTCTCCTGAGGACATATTTCCTCTTGAGATCACTCTGGGCCAGATCTGCACCTCCCCCCCCCCAGCTGTGGGGAGCCTGGGATGCCCCAGCTCCATTCCTTCTCCAAGTTTTCTGGCAGGATATGCAGCTGATGGCTTCACACGACACAGATGGCCAACCAGGTCATTGGGAGTAGTAGGGTCAGTGCCTGCACTCAGCCCTTTTCCTGATCACCACTGTGGCTTGGGGCAAATCCCTGCCCTTTCCCGAGTTTCATCACCATCATCACCATCACTACTATCACCATTACATCACCGTCACCATCATCACTGTCACCACCATCACCATCATCATCGTCATCACCATTTCCATCACCATCACCACCATCATCACTGTCACCACCATCACTATCACCACCATCACCATCACCATCATCATCATCACCACCATCACTGTCACTACCATCACATCACCACCATCACCATCATCACCATACTTTCATCACCATTACCACCATCACCACCATCACCGTTGCCACCATCACCACCACCATCACCATTATCACATCACCACCATCGCCATCATTATCGTCATCACCATCACTGTCGCCGCCATCACCACCAACATCACCACCATCACCATCACCACCATCACAGTCGCCACCATCACCACCACCATCACCATCAACACATCACCACCATCATTACCATCATCACCACCACCATCAGCATCACTATCACCACCATCATCACCACCATCATCACCACCACCATCACCATCATCACCATACTGTCATCACCATCACCACCATCACCACCATCACCACCACCATCACCATCACCACCATCACCATCGCCACCATCACCATCATCACCATCACCACCATCATCACCATCACTGCCATCACTATCACCACCATCACCATCATCACCAATTCTTATATTCGTTGAGTGTTTCCTCCTTGTCCAGCATTATTGAAGTGCTTTATAAGCATTACCTCCTTTACTCCTCAAAACAAAGCTAAGACAGATGTACTAACATTAGTCCATTTTATGTGTCCACTTCCAGCAAGAGTTGAGCCAGAATCTGACAGCCATGTTCTGTCTGACACCCATGTTCTCTCTCTTAACCACTGTACCATTGTACAGGTACAAATTATTCTGATCTGAACTGCAGGGTGACTTATCAGATGTTGAGCTGATGAGCAGCCAGCAGGGTCAGGATGGGCTAGAACATTGGGTACACAGGGCTGTGGATGGGCATCCCCCCCCACCTCCCTGGCACACTGCATAATGCTGGCTCCATCCTTGCCCCCAGTCCTCCTCTGACCCCAGAGAAGAAGTGGCACCTTTTAAGAGTATCCCCTGAGAACCTGAAGACCTACCAGATGTTCCCCTCGGGGAAGAGGGTCTCCCCGCACGAGCGGCAGAAGAGAGATCGCTACTTTGAGTTCAGAGCGTGATGTCTGAGAGCCTGGCTCTGACCAGGTTGGCTTTTTGGAATAAAATCTTTAGCCACGACCAAACCTATGGTCTTCTCCTCTGAGCCCCAGGAACATTTGGCCACAACAAGGACACGCCTGAGGGTCACACAGCACTGGGTCTTAAGGCCTGTGGAAAGCCCAGCTCAGGGGTTCAAGCCAGTAGAAAGCAGTGTCCAGTGACCTACTGGGCCCCCCCACCCTTCCTCTGAGGTGGGGGCAGGTAGGACCAAGAACTGTAGGGCTCCCGAGTCTTGGTGGCAGGTCACTCAGGTACAGAGATACCTCCCATCTGCTTCCACGCGTATAATCGAGGAAGCCCCATGATCGCATGTCTGAGAATGAAGGGGAAGTGACCACGGAACAATTGCACAGGGGGTCAGGTGCAAAGGACTTCCAGTTTGAGCCCTGACTTGGCATCATTTAGTCCGCACACTCACTTGTGAGGGAGGTGGTGTTAGCCCCACTTTACTGATAAAGACACAGAGTCTTGGAGGTTGAGAAAGTTGCCCAAGCTCCCACAGCTTATAAGTGACCCAGTGTTTTGACCCAAGGCCTCGTTTTCCCACTACATAACCTGCCTGTGGTCCACATGGAGACTCAGAGGTAGGGATGACTCAGCCCTGAAGCCCTTCTGGTGCCGGAGAGAAAAAGCTGTGTCCAGCAACCTCTCTCTGCATTCTTCCCAGACTGGCATGGACAGGCTGATTTGGCATCTCCCCTGGGGATTATTTCTACAAAAGCACAGGAGGGAGTGACCCAGGACTAAGCATTCTTCAAGAAAATGGGGGGAATGGGCTCCCAGATCACATGCTTGAGGTGGGGAGTCTGGAGTGTCTGCTCTCACCAGGCTGCTGCTTCCCTCTTCCTGGGAGGCCTCCTGCCTGCTGGGGCAGGGGACAGGAAGTGGGGGACAGCCCCTCCATAGACAGGATCTGGGATGGGGACCTCAGGCCAGGTATGTATCCACATGACAGGGTTTCTCCAACATTCCAGCATCTCTTAGAGTTGATCAAGGGACTGCCATCCATCAGTGGGAAATTTATTACCTCTTGAATGGGTGAGTCAGGACCTAAAGGCAAAGAGACCACTGCAGGTTCAAGTACATGTCACAGTGAGACAGCGCCTCCCCTGGGAGCCAGTGGTTAGACACCTTCTTAGAGGACAATGTAAACAAGAAAAACTGTGTGCCCATCAGAGAGGCATCTGTCAGCTCTCAGAGACCCTATAAGGAGCTTCTCCTGTGATCCAGACTCCTTGATTACCTGGGTGCCAAAGGGTCCCCGTGGTGGCCAAGTTCATTCCAGGATTTGGTTGAAGAGCAAAGCAAATAAACCCCAACTGCTGGTCCACACTGTTGCATCCTGGAGCCTGGGGGTGCCAAGTGGGTCCTAGATGTCTTCTCCCATGACAAGGACTGGGAAGCCGGGCACCAGCCAGAATGACCACTATATACGTGTCTCTGTAGTTGGCAGTAGGAGATGCTGGGAGGTAGCTCCAGTGAAGGAAGGGAATGATGTGGATTTTCTGCATAAACTTCATCCCATTTGGCCTGGTCCCTGCTGTGATGTGGGTTGGGATTTGAACCCTGTCCTCAAAAAAGGCTGGTCATCCCAGCTAGCTTGCTGTCATCGGCAAACTTAAGCCCTGGAATGAGCAGTCCCTAATAAAAGGTACTTCTACGTGATCCTGTATTCAAAAGATGAACTGGTGGGGGATGGGAAAGGCTTTTGTTTTGCTTTATTGAATAAACAATAGTCTAGAAGTGAGGTAGGACAGGGACAAAGTCATACTTCTGATCAGAGTCCCCCAGTGCCCGAAGGGGGTTGAATTCCAAGTTCCAGTAGTCCCCTTCGAGGCTGCCAGCTCAGGTATTTGTGGCCACATCAAAAGCCCCAGAAGTGAATCCGAAAGGAGCTGAGAGAAAGCATCCCATGAGCCACCCTGAGCTACAGCTCTAAAGTGCCCTCCACTTTCCAGGTTCATAGTGGTCCTGGAGGCCCCCCCTCATCCCTCTCTCTGGGATGGCCGGTTCGCAGCTGTTGCAAACCCTCCCAAAGCCTTATGTTCCTTTTAGCATCACCAGAAAGTGAAGGGTGTCAGAACCTCGTGGTGCCAAAACCACGGAAAGATTCAAAGAAAAAGGCAAGGAGGACAAGATTTTGGCCTCAGTTATGTGCTGAGCTGTTCTGGAAGAAGAGGAATTACCCTTAGTTGGGGTGGTTCCAAGTGTGGACAGTCTTTCGGAGGGTCTGCCCAGGCCTGGGCCCCATAGCAGCCGGGTTGGCCTGGAGAGCCCTCTCCTCCCACCACGTGACTGGAAGAGGGGTGGACACCTGACCCGACTCGGGCCAATAGGATTCTCTGTCTGGGAATTTGGAGTCAGAGCTGAGAGATATTACTTAGGAGTGACCGACTGCTGCCGGGAGGCCATGAGTGGCCTCCTGTCTGACAAAGGAGAGATTTCTGGTTTGCATGTAGAGCTAAGTGCAGAGGAGCTGAGGAGAGAGGCAGAGACTCCAGGCACAGAGAAGAGAGAAAATACACCATCTTCGGTTCCTGACCAGGTATTCTCTGAGGTCTAGTTGTCTTTGTTCTTTTTCTGATTGGTTGGTTAAACCATCATGCGTGGGCATTCTTTGCTATCAAATTCACCTAGACTATAAGACCAAGGGCAGATGTATGCAAACAGATGCCAACTCCACCCAAGAAGGGCATTCTAACAGGGCTGTGCGATCATGAATGGGCTGCCTCCAGGGGTGGTGCTTTCCCCATAACTGGAAAGATCCAAACAAGATGGTTAAACATGGCCTGGGCAATATGGAGATGGCCAATCATCTCAAGGGTGTCTGCACCAAGCTATAAGACCATTAATGACCCTTCTACCTGAAAAAAGTTTTGGAAATACCCCATGACCAGCATCTTCACACCCCCATGCAAATCCCCGACTCCTGGTGACCACAGGGGGCAGGGGAGCAGGACAGGCAGTGGCAAAGGCCACCTGCCGGTCAGTCCTAGAGCCCCCTGTGCCTGGGGGGAAGACACCGGTGTGCCAGGCCCGCTCTAGATGGGCAGCACCTGAAGTCAGGACCACCCACGTCATTTGCAGAGCCTGGAATATAATCTTGCCTTTGCTGGTTAAAACCCCACTCCTTCTTTCAAAAGGTTAGAAATGTAGGTTACTGAATTTCTCCAAAGCTCCAGGTTTGCTGACTCTGAAAGAATCGGCAAAGTACCCTGGAAACTCATGACCTCCTTGGGAAGATGAGGGGCTTCATTGGCTCTTCCTGCCCCCCCCTCCACTATGCTGGTCTCTCCCCCTCCCCCACTCCAGAGCACCTTACTTCATGAAGTCTGGAGACTTGGCCATAGCATGTTCAAACTCTGAGAAAGACAGCATGTTGTCATTGTCCAGATCCGACTCATTCAGGACCTGGCCAGGGGTGCAGGAGGAGCCAGAGAGCAGAGAGGAGCCCAGTATGAGAAAGTGAGATGGGGCCACAGGCGGAGGGTAAAATGTCTCACGCCAAGTGCTGCCATAGGCCAGGCTCTCTGCTAGGTGCTTAACATGCATGTGAGTTCCCTGACCCCCTTGTGGGGGGGGGGTGAGGCAGATGTTCTCCGCCCCGCCCCCCGCTACTCCCCACCCCAGACAAAGACATGGAGATGCAGAGATAAGGTTATGCGCGCTGAGGTCTGTCTGGGACCTCATGGGAAGAGTTCCCTTCGTGCCTCCAGCACAAACTTGGCAGTGCAAATGGGTGCAGAGGTGAATGGGGTGACATCCCCACCCATACCTATATCCGGTCACAGGCAGGGGCTCTGTACTGCAAGGGGCCCGGTCGGGTCTAGAAGGCAGTGATGACCTCTCATGGTTTTATCTTTGCTTCTAGTTTCAATCCAGACCACAAGCACTTGAAGGTTCCCATGGTCTTAGGACAAACAGATTCATGAGGCTGCCTTCATGTCCTGTCACACTTTGGACTGTCACTCTAGGACATCTGGGTTAACATGGGAAAGGCAACGTGATGATGTGTCCATCTGCGGCTAAGCTGCTTTCGGGCCACCTACCTACAGTGACCGCAGTGTGGGTGGGAGGACCCCTTGGAGTGGGTGGCTCGGGCACCTGCTCTTGGGGACCCTGGAAGGAGGGACTTTGGAGGAAAGACGCAAACTTGGGTGATAGTTGCCTCCAGCATGTGCCCATCCCTCAGGGCACCCCACCCAGCCTGCCATCCAGGGGCTTTGGGGGATGGCCTGGACCAACCCAGCCTGTGTGGCCCTGGGCACACACGTGGTTCGTGAGGTCGGTCAGCAGGTCCTCGGATACGTCATCACTGTTGAGCAGTCGGAGGACAATCCTCTGCAGGTCCTCCTCGTCGATGAAGCCATTCTCGTTAAAATCTGCAAAGAGAAGGCAGAGTGTGAGAGGAAAGGGGGGCTTCCTCAGCCTCCCAGGAGTCCAGGGAGCCATGGCCCCACAGAACCCCACCGTCCCAGGCGGGCCTCGAGCCTGGCCCTCAGAGAGCCCTGGGCAGGCAAGCAGCAAAGGGGCTGGAGGGGGGCTGTAGACCCAGGAGGTGCTGAATAACACGATAAACACAGCAATAGTCGTGAGCATTCACTGGGCGCATACTATCTGCTCAGACATGTCCTGAGAGCTTCACCTGTTTTCAGTCACTGAATCTTCACAGTCTACCTTTTATGAGTCTCACTCTGCCAAAAGGACACTGAGGTACAGAGGTGTGAGATGTTGGCCCACGCTGCCTGTAAGTGGAAGGCGGGGTTCAGACCCAGCTAGGCTGGTCCCCGAGCCTGCGTCACCCACCGTGCTACGAAAATCTCCACCTCAGAGCTCACAAGCCAGTAGATGGTTTGGCCGGGAGCTGGGGACGCCTGGACTTGGGCACGGGTCCCTGCTCCTGGCCCTGCGCAGGGACCTGAGCACCTGCCCCACCTGTGCTGAGGATAATGCCCAGCGTCCACTCCAGGGAGCGCCCTGACCCTTGTCAGACCTTGAGTCCTCCTTTTTGAGTTCAAAAATATGGTCATTCTTATGAAAATACTGTTACATTGTATGTCAACAACAACAAAATGTGGGCATTACACAAGCCCCCAGCACCCTGGACGCCGCCCCCCCCTCCGCCCCGGGTGTGTTTAACCCAGTTCCCTACAGAGGCGCCTTGGAAGGGTGTCCCTGGGCCTCTCAGGGCCTGCTGCAAGTCTTCTCTACAGGCCTGGGGCGCTTCTACCCCCAGCCGTTGCCAAAGGCAGCCCCCGGCCTGGGGTGCCCTCCTCCTTTCCCTCCAAGCCCTGGGATACTCTGACTCACCCTGCACTTGCCCTCCCTTGCCTCCCTGTGAAGTCTCCCTGACACCCTCAGGCCCAGGATGGCTCCCTCCTCGAGCTCCAGCAGCTCCTAACACAGGACCTGTCCTCCCGGCATGAGCCTTGCTCTCCTCGGCACCGGTGGCCTAGGGCTGCCTTGTTTTCCTGTTGCAGCGCCTGCTTCTTGCCACCGCCTCACTCATTCACACTCGGCAGACACGTGGGTGCCTGCTGGGTGCCCATCCCCAAGCCCGGCATCGGTGCACAGATGTACCAGATTGGTTCCTGCCTGCCTGGAGCTCCCAGTCTGGGGGTGCAGGGGAGACAGTTGGGCACCTGAGTAGCTTGGCTCCAGGGAGAGAAGAACAGGCATCCCCTAGGGCTCCAAGGGTTTCCAAATGGGCAAGTTCATGTCTGATTGGGGTTGGGGGTGTGAATGAGGAAGGCTTCTTGGAGGAAGAGGCATCAGAGAAGGATTAAAGGGTTTGGGCCTCCAGAGATGGCAACCGGAGGAGGTGCCAGGGTCACTAGGGACAGTGGTAGAGAAGGAAGAGCACCAGAGGGATCAGTCTGGGGTGAGGGGAACAGTAGCTTGGAGGTCTGGGAGAGTGGTCAGAGGTTAAGGGTGGAAGGCAGGCTGAACTCCATAGAGCCATGAACGCCTAGGGAGGCTGCTCTGGGAGAATGTCCCTACCTCCTCTGGGAACCCAGCACAGCTCCTGCCTCTTCTGGAACCCCCAGCGTGGCCCCTACCTCCTCTGGGAACCCCAGCACAGCTCCTGCCTCTTCTGGAACCCCCAGCGTGGCCCCTACCTCCTCTGGGAACCCCAGCGCAGCCCCTGCCTCTTCTGGAACCCCCAGCGTGGCCCCTACCTCCTCTGGGAACCCCAGCACAGCCCCTGCCTCTTCTGGAACCCCCAGCGTGGCCCCTACCTCCTCTGGGAACCCCAGCACAGCCCCTGAACCGCTCATCAGCTATGCAGTAAGTAGGGGCAGTAAGCTTAGGCAGGTACAATGCCACCATGACAAACAGATGTGCCAGGCAATGATCTAAGTGCTTTCTCTTCTACTGCATTTAGTCCTCATAACACCGATGAAGACAGTGAGGCGCACTGAGATTAAATAACCATACTCACTTCTTGAGTCTCAGTTCAGCCTCTTGCCTTTTAAACATCTATGTCTAGCCTGGGCTTCTCCTGAACTCCAGGCACATGTATCCATCCACAGGCCTTCTTATCCTCTCCACTTGGAGGTCTGATAGGTCCCTCAAGTTCAACTGGTCCAAACCCAAACTCTTGACATGCCCCCTTCCTCCCTGGCCCCAAACCTGCTGCACTCAGCTGTGCCCTTCTAGGCAAATGGGCAATGGCCAATAAGCTTGGAGTCATCCTTGACCGTGTCCTTGCCTCGCTCCGCGTGGCTAAGGTGTCAGCAGACCCTCCCAGCTCCGCCTTGGAGAGACGGTGGACCCAGCCTTATGACCTCCCCGCTGCACTGCCCCCACCATGGCCCAGCCAGCATCACCGCTCTCCAGGGTTACACTAGCGGCCTCCTAACCAGTGTGCTTACTCTCCGTCTGCCCCCTCAGTCTGTTCTCCCTCAGCAGCCTGTGGTCCTGTGGATCCTACCACATTCCGCCCCTCAGCACCACTTCTCACAGCCTCCATCTCAGCCAGAGGAAAGCCCAGGTCCCGACTGTGTTCCCCAAAGTCTGCCCTGTCCTTACTCTGCCTCCTTGCATTTTCCCCATCAGGTCGGGCTCGATCCTGCCTCAGGGCCTTTGCACTGTGATTTCCCCTCCCTGGAACACTCACCCAGAGATCCTTAGGGTCTTCACTTAAATGCCAGCTTCTCACCAGAACCTGCCTAAAATTGCACTTCCTGTCCCATTCCCTGCTTTATTTTTCTCCCAGTGCCCCATACTACCTGACACACTGTTATGTTTCACTCATTAGCTCCTTTGTTTCTCTCCACTAGAATATAAATTCCTCGAGGGCAGAAAGTTTTGTGGTTTGGGTCACTCTTGTATCCCCAGCTCCTAGAACAGAGTCTGGAACAGAGTAAGCACTCACTGAATATTTGTTGAGTAAGTGAACACATGAACTATCTGAAGTCACACGTTGATAAATGATGGAGACGGTAGTAGACCCAGGCACTACAACTTTGTGGGAAGTCTGTGCTCTGAATCACTCATAACTGCTCTTATTGTAATGAAGCACCCAATTTTTAGCTGTGTGTATGACCATCTATACTTAACACTGTATTTCCCAGCCTCCCTTGCTGCTTGATGTGGCCCCACGTTTGAGTTCTGGCCAGTGAGATGCAAGCAAAAGAGGCACAGGCAACTTCTCGGAATGTCTTTAAAGAGAAGGCTATACCTTCTTTGTGACACTGAGGCGACCTTGGGAACAGAGGATAAAGTGACACCATGGAGGAACCTACGTCCCGGACCTTGCAGAACCACCGTGGACAACTGCCTCTGGGATTCTACACATTAGAGAAATAACACACGGCTGCCAGAGATCTTGGAAGCTATCTTGTGTAAACCACTTGGGGGTCCCTGTCATTTGCCACCAAATTTAACCCTAACTAATGCATGACCTGAGCCTCTGTTTCCTCATCCATAAACAGATTAACAGTACCTCCACAGATTGGCTGTGAAAATTAAATAAGGAAATGCATGGAAGTCTTCTGGCATGGGGTTTGGAATATAGAAGATGCTCATTAGGTAGAGTAGAGGCTCAATTTTATGTCATTTGAGGATGTTAAATACTGAAAATGCTAACCCTGGAAACTGTAATCTCTCGCTTTGAAGAACGAAAGCTAGAGCTATATTGGTCCTGGAATGGAGGAGCAAGTGTGCTGATGTCACAGGATCCTTCAGGGGTAGAGCTCAGACTTTTGGCTCTGTCCCCCCAGACAGGATATGGATATGAAAGGACACTCACCACCCCAGCCCTTAAGCAGTTGTCTCTCCCCTGGCCAACTGTTTATCAGCCTCAGGTCCTGGAGGTCAAGTCCTGAGACGTTCATCCAGGCTCTCCTGCGCAGCTCTGCTATCACACATCGTGAGTGAGGGCTGGGAGCAGATGGAGGGGCCGAGGGACTGGCACCGGGACTGGAGGAAGGGGGTAGCGGCAGTGACATTGCACTGCTGGTAAGAAGCTCCGCAGCCTCTCCCAGAGACCCCGCAGTGTCCCCAGGCGTCCCACTGGCCCAGCTCCCATATGCAGAGACTGCAGCAAAGTGACATGGCTCTGGTCCCAGGCCATCAGAAAACAGAATAATTTGCTGGAGTAGAATGTAGTCCTGGACAGTTCCCCTCCTTTGGGGGTGCAAGGACAGAGCCGACTGGGAAAGGGGTGGGGGCTGGGAGCTCTGGGCGGCTGGCCAGCCCCTGCAGCCTCAGCAGCCTTAGACCTGTAGCCGGGGCCATTCTGGGAATGGGGGTGGGCCTACCTCTTGCCGTTTCCTGACAACAGGAAGTTTAGAGAGAGCTTGGAGAATCGGGGCTCAGCCTTCAGGTCCCCCTTGCCATCATCATCCCAACCTCCCTGTCCTGTTACTCCTTGCAATTTACGAAGTCCTTTTACAGAAATCAGCCCATGTTGGTTGAGTGGGGAAGGGCACGCCTTCACCATCATTTGCAGGAGAACCGAGGCTGCCTCCCTTGCTTCTCCCAGCCCTCTGTCCTGGGTCAGGTCTTGGGGTGGTGTGGCAAGCTCTCCTGCTGGTGCTCTGGCACCTGCCTGAAGATCATTCACATCTGGTGGCAGCCCTGCCGATGGGAGCCGGAAGGCAGGGCTGGGGTGTTGGTCTCTGACAGGTGAAAGTCCTTACAGAGAGGGTGGGGGCTCGATCCGTTGGAGGCCAGGAACATCCCTCAAAGCAGAAACTGGAGCCCAGCAGTTACAACCCAGGTGCTGGATTCCTGACGGAGAGCCATCCCCCCTTCCTTCCTACGAACAGCAGTGCAATTCCTGTCCAGGGTGACGCCATATTCAGTTTAAAATACCCAGCTTTCCAGTCTCCGTTGCAGCTATCTGTGGTCACGTGACATGGTTCTGGACAAAGCA